CGGGGTCAAGTGCCAGTCAAGTCTCTGTGTTCCACCCTCTACCCTGCCCTCCCTCTCCCCCCCCACGCACCAGGTCTGCACTGGTCCACGGCCATAGAGCGCAGCAAGTCAGCGGGATAGCTGGCAAAGGATGGGATGGCAGCCAAGGAGAGGCGCAGAACCGCCGCTCTGGCAATGCTACAGGTGAGCTCGTGCGGCAAGGAGAAGCACTAGGGTGCAGCTGAAACGAAATTGTTTCCCTGTGTCTGGGCTAATATGCTGCTGAAGGTGAGCGTGTCGAACGAGTTCTAAGGGCAGCAGGCAGGTTGGTGCCCTGGTGATGCCGGGTTACCTTACCTGCTGTCAAAAGCATGCCAGATTCAGCCAACGCCCCGTTAACATTGGCTCTTGTTTCGGTCCTGTTTGGTTTAGTCTGGTCTTTTTATAGGCAAAAAGAGCCTGGCTTGGATGAGTGACTGACGCATGGTTTCCTGCCCTCTCATGCCGTGGTGGGATGTGGTGTGCACACACCCACAGGGAGCAATGGACCACGTCATGTCCGATTCCAAGTCACGTCGTATTGCACGTACGTATCCCACGGGCTAGGTAGTGCATGCATGATAGTGCCGTGGATCAGGCTTATGGGTAATGAACATGGACTAGTGCATAGGTATGGGCGAGGTAGCAAGCACATGGTATTACATGTAACGCAGGGAGCCATGGATCTCGTCTTGTCCGACTCCAAGTCACGCCGCATTGAGCGTACGTATGGGCTAGGTGCCGCATCATAGTGAACATGGCGATTTGCGTACGTATGGCCACGGGCCAGGTAGCGAGCACATGTTTTTGCAATCATGCTGGCATGGGGATATGGTTCGGTCTATGCCCGTCATACTCAAAGTGATTTAGGCGTACCTACCTACGGGTTGGTAGCGGCACGATGCCTTCTCCTCAGTGCTTTCTCACACTCAGTAGTTTTCTCGCGCTTTAATGTGATTTTGAGTCTTGCCAGTGTCGGAGATAGTCAGCCATGTTCTCCGTGTTTACACAGTCGCCTTTGCGAATCAGATTGAGAGTGCATGCAGCTTTTCACTTTCTGTTTTCTAGGTGATAGATCGATAAGATATCAATTTAACTGAGAGGGGTGTTTCGCCAATTCGTTTCATCGAATCTGCCCTTTCTTCTCCCACAAATGGCCCTCCGTCAATTCTTTCTCCTCTCTCACCCTTCCGTGTTTTTTTGTTTGTTTTTCGACCGTCGTCGTCACCCTTCTATTGACTCCATTCCTCCCTCCCCTGCTACCTCCCACCCCCTCCCATACCCCTCACCCCCTTTGCCAGTCTTTCTCCTCATCAACGCATCATTTATGATCGTCGAGTTTTCTGTCAGCTTCCTCTCGAATAGGTATGCTTGGTCTGGACTAGTTCGGACTAAACTGCTTCTGGTTGAGGTGTTGACTGTTTGAATCAGCTCTAGCTAAATCTTTATCCATACGCTGGCTAGATCACATGAAGCTTCTAGTGCCTACTAATGCAAGTATACATGGGCTATGTTAAAATCTATTCATGGCTCAACAGCAGAGTGCGCTTGCCACTTCCCTTCCCACGACCATTTCTACCTTCTCTTCCTTTCTCCTCCTCTCCATCTCCCTGCCACTTTGGCGTTGTCCCAGTTGCCCACCAAGTCTCCTTCTTCCAGCCTTCTCCCGCATACCCCTCTTTCCCGTCCCCCCCCACCACCAACAGTCTAGGTCTCATATCTGATGCGATGTCACATGCTCTTTGACTGCGCTGCTCTTGCCATCGGACTCATCTCCCTCATTCTTCCCTTTCACCCTCTTTCCGCCCCCCTCTCCCTCCACCACCACCAGTCTGGGTCTCATATCAGACGCGTGTCACATGCTCTTCGACTGTGCTACGCTCACCATTGGCCTCTATGCCTCCTACATCTCCCGCATCGACTCCCCCTCCATATTTGCCTACGGGTTCGTGAATAACTTTTCAAGAATTTAAGACCGTTCAGTTTCTTTTTGCTAGGTTTCCAGTTCAGGTGACCTGTTCAGGTGATGGCGTGGCACGCTCTCTTGATGTGATCTGAAGTTTGCTTCTTGGCATTGTTCGGTGTCTGTGTTGGATGCTGCATGGGTGTGTGTCCCATCGTCTCCGTTAACCATGCTTTGTGTCATCCCATCCCACCCGCTCCCACTCCATCTGCTCGGCTCCTCGCCTGCAGCTACGGTCGCTTTGAGGTGCTCTCGGGCTTTGTGAATGCGGTCTTTCTCATGCTCATCGCTGCACTCATCGTCTTTGAGTCCATTGAAAGGTGTGCCTTCGATCATGCAGGAGATTTTTCAGAATTTTCAAAACGTCCTGCTATCGGGCTGAATGCAACCTTCCTAGTGCCCTGCTCATCGCCGCACTCATTGTCTTGGAGTCCATTGAAAGGTGCGCCCTCTTTCTGTCCATGGCTTTGTTTCTCCCAAACTGATGCGTGTTTCTTGCTTTAAGTCAAACCAACAGCTTGATTATTTCAGAGCCTGCTTTAGAGCTCGCTTTTGAGCGTGCTTTAGAGCCTCAATCCTATCTCCCTTTCTGTCTAGATCCTGGCTTCTTCACCCTCCTGCCTTCCAGTGTCTGTGGGAGGCCTGGTGGTGAACATGGTGGGACTCGTGTTCTTCCATGAAGTCCACCACCACGCACACGGAGGCAGCTGCTCGCACTCCCACTCCCATGACCACTCCCACTCGCATGCACATGCGCATGACCACTCCCATTCTCATTCTTAGCATTGGCATGAGCATGAGCATGAGCACAAGCATGAGCATGGGTATGCCCATGGTGGGCCATGCTCCCACTCCCATCATAACGACCATCATTATCATCATCATCACGAGCATCAAGACAACCATGCCCATCATGTCCATGATGACCATGATCATATGCATGACCACGGGCATGACCATGGGCATGATCATATGCATGATCATGGGCATGATTATAAGCATGAGCATATGCATGGCCATAAGCATGACCATGGGCATGGGCATGGGCATGATTGCCAAAGACATGAGGACCGGCATGACCACCACAAGCCTCTTCATCATCATAAAGATACGCATGGATGCGACCATGGGCATGATGGGCATGAGCATGGGCATGGGCATGGGCATGAGCATGGAAACGGGCATAGGCATGAGGGGGAGGGTGCAGTAGGAGGGGACAACTGGGAGCAAGAGAATTGGGAAGATGCCAAGAGCAACATCACCATGACCACTAGATCACTCTTACAATCACCAATCTCGGTATCATCACCTTCGTTTGAGTCACCAGCGCTGCCATCGTCAGGGGCAGAGAAACTTTTGGCCGTGCACAAAGCAAGGAGGAGAATAGGCGAAGGGGGTGCTGCTGCAGGAGGAGATGAAAGTTTCCAGGCGCTGCCCGTGAGGCTGGATAGTGGGTAGGAGAAAGCAAGTCAGATTGGGAAGGAAAGTCGCACAAACAGGAGCATGGGCATGAGCACGGGCATGAGCATGAAAATGGGCACTCACTTGAGCTTGAGCATGCTTATGAGAGTAAAGCCATGCCTCATGATTCCTCATGCTCATCGCTCAGCATGGATGTAGGAGGAGGGGATGGGCATGGGCATAGGCATGGGCATGAACATGGACACAGGCATGGGGAGGTGGGAGCTGGAGATGGGGAGGGAGGAGAGGCATGTGTGCAAGAGGTGCTCACATCCGGCAGTGCTCATGTGGACCACAACATGCATGGTAGGCTCTCCGCTCTTTCTTGCTCCCCACATGCTGCTTCGTTTCCTCTAGTCATAATCGCTCGTGTTCTCCTTCTATCCCTTTGCTCCTGCTGCCCAGCACTCACTCTCGAATCCTTCCCACCCATCGCCTCCTTGCAGGAATCTTCCTGCATGTGTTGGCAGACACACTGGGCAGTGTGGGGGTGGTGATATCAACGCTGCTCATCAAGTACAAGTGCTGGATGCTCACAGACCCGGTGAGAACAAGGGGCAAGGGGAATTTCCTTGCTTGAGGGGGTGTTCCATTGCACATGCTTCGAGGGCAGTGTGGGGGTGGTGATATCAACGCTGCTCATCAAGTACAAGGGCTGGATGCTCACAGACCCGGTGAGAACAAGGGGCAAGGGGAATTTCCTTGCTTGAGGGGGTATTCCATTGCACATGCTTCGAGGGCAGTGTGGGGGTGGTGATATCAACGCTGCTCATCAAGTACAAGGGCTGGATGCTCACAGACCCGTTGAGGAGTGGACTGCAGGCAAATGGGTAAGGGAAAGGAAATACAGGGACACATGCTGGCAGATGGGTATTTCCTTGCACATGTTTTTAGAAGCCTTCCTTCCTCCCAAACATCTGCAGCCGTCTCTTTGCTCGCCCCTTCCCACTCAATTCCGCTTCGTGCCTCCCTTTCCACTCTCTCCCCTCTCTCCACACCACCACCAGGCGTGCTCCATATTCATATCAGCGCTCATCATCAGCACTGTCATCCCTCTGCTGCGACGTTGCCCCTCCACTCCCCCTTATCTCCCCATATCTCCCCCTTCTCTCCACCCCACCACCACCAGGCGTGCTCCATATTCATATCAGCGCTCATCATCAGCACTGTCATCCCTCTGCTGCAACGTTGCCCCTCCACTCCCCCTTATCTCCCCATATCTCCCCCTTCTCTCCACCCCACCACCACCAGGCGTGCTCCATATTCATATCAGCGCTCATCATCAGCACTGTCATCCTTCTGCTGCAAAATTCAGCCGAAATTATTTTGCAAAGAGTACCTCGGGCAGCTGAACACCAAATTTTGGCTGCCCTGAAGAAGGTGAGCAGTAGGCTTAGAAAACCTTAGCGCCTCCATCTAGATGCATCTAGGCTTTCAAAAGCACCTCCTGGGTCTCGTGATTGTCCTGGACTTGATTTTTCTTCGTGCTACACGCCCCATTCCATGCCCCATACCCCACACCCTTTCCTTCTAAATCAAATGCTCCACATTTTTCCAAATGCTCGAACCATCATCCCATTTCCAATGGCAGATTGAGTCGATGGCAGGAGTGGTGGCGGTGCGGCAACGGCACTTCTGGTCCTTCACTCCCAAGATGCTAGTGGGCTCCATTCACGTGCTCATCTCTCTAGATAGCCTCAAAAATAGGGCCAAGGAGGGAGCTGCAGCGGCGCATCACGGAGATGCTTATAGCGAGTACGGGAACAAGCAGCGGCGGCTGGAGGCGGTTCAGCAGCTGCGGCAGTCGTTGAGGCGGCGGGTTTCGGATGTATTCCGGGCGGTTGGGATCACTCACGTAACGGTGGAGGTGGGTACTGCACGGTGCACATATGCTGGAACTTGCATGCAGCCTCTCATGATACAAATCACAGGGCACAGCGCATGGGGCATGCTCCTGAATGGTTTTCACCTTCCCACAGACTCTGAGTTCTTGTCTGAGTTCTAGTCTGCCCCACTCTCCAGGATGACATACCTTCCCAACTCAGCTCCTCATCTCACGCTTCATGATTTGACTGCTTCCCACTTCCCAACGCTCATGCACCTTCTTTCTTCCCGTGCCTGTGCGTATTTCTTTCTCTCCCCAACCTGTGCATGTTTTTTTCTCTCCTATGCCGGTGCATATTCTCTTGCGTCATGCAGATCGAGGAAGCATCGACTCACCAACTGCACCAGAGGCAACTGCACCATCGGCACCACCATCATCCTCACCATTCCCACGCCTCGCCTTTCCACACCCCCTCCCATGCATTCTCCCCCCACGCTGCACAATAACACACATTCACCTACTTTGCACTAGTAACCACCATGCAGCAACGTGTGCTGTGAGGATGATAACTCACTTCAGAGCCCACGTGGCTGTGCTGCTACCATATCTGCTGGCAAAGCGTGCGTTATCACTACGGTAGTTTCGCATTCAGCGCTGCAGCCAGCCACCCTAACTCTGCTACGCACAGTTTGTCCTAACCTGGACCAAGAAATAGCACCAGGGATATACCGTATTCTCCCGGACAAAACACCCCCCCGTAATTGTACACCCCCGGGTAGCTTGTGCGGGGTGGGTGTTATGATAGACCTCGTTTCTACTATACCCCCCTTTTTTGGCTGATTTTCTATACCACCCCCTTTTCTTACGAATTCGTTATTATAGTCGTTAACGAGAAGCGCAATACGGAAGAATATCACGAAAATTTCTCCCTAGATGAAATTTCGTGGTACATTCACTTACAATCTACGAGATTTCCCCCCTCCCACTACTTCGCTGTGGCCACGTGCAAGCAAATCTTCCGTTGCAAGTGGCAAGAGAGGTGCCACATGACATTTTCGTGGGGGTGATGAAGTTCGTGGCCGAAACTCACATTCGCACCTCAGACAGTGATGTTAAAATGAAAATCAAATCACCCACACACTAACACTAAAATATACCATATGTAAAGACCCGGGTATTATGTATTTTTTTCCTATGAGGAGACCCCCCCCATTTTTTCCCTGTATTTTTAGCTATACCCTAGGGTGTTATGTCCGGGAGAATACGGTACAGGTACTACGCATGGCACCAGCACTGGGCCTAGCAGCTGCCTGATTGCCAAAATGATTCTTCCTGTCGAATTTACAACCCAGCCGATGAATGGAAGCCAACCAACCAGACATCATCAGCAGGAAAAAAGCAGAGAGGACACAAGCAAGACATTCAACAACCAGATTTGCTGTAGCCGAACCGTGAGGAAAAAACGAGTGAGCAGCGGAAACAAAATAGAATGCTGCTTGAGGCAGCATGGCAGGTGAAGCAGAAGCAGCAGCATTGACCATTCCATTTCAACTTGTAAAACATATGGAGTTCAGCCTCGTCCGCTCTTTCTCAACTTATTGCTGCCAGTCGCTCGATCACAGCATTGCAGAAGAAGCAGCGGGGGCTGTTAAGTCGGTGCCGTGCCACACAGCGCTCACAGGAGGAGTGACCACAGGGGATGAACTGAGTGTCACTGGGAGCAGCATAGCAGATGAAACAGGTAGGGCTCTCCTGCTCAGATTCGCAACACTGCTACAGGTGTCCTAACTCTGTGCTTCGCTGCCAGTCGCTCGATAACAGCATTGCAGAAGAAGCAGCGGGGGCTGTTGAGGCGGTGCCGTGCCACACAGCGCTCACAGGAGGAGTGACCACAGGGGATGAACTGGGTGTCACTGGGAGCCGCGTAGCATATGCTGCACATCTCCCCCTCTTCCTCCTCCTCCTCCTCCTCCTCCTCACCTTCCCCCTCCCCTGTACCAGCACCAGCAGCAGCACCATCCATCCCCTCTGCGGTGGTGCCTTGCTCTTGCATGTGCTCTTTGCCCTTCTTCCCGCGACCTGGGAGGTGCAGGAAAGGGAGGAGCGCTGAATTGGAGGTGAGACCAGGCGGATGGGGGCAGGGAGGGGCAAAGTGGCATGGAGACAGAGGAAGAGGGCTGTGCCAGTTCCCATGTTGCCTGTTCCTTTTCTGCCCATTCCCATGCTGCCAGCTCCCTCCCATGCCAACACCCAGTGCCCATGCGTGTACGCTTACCTGCAGCAGCGGCAGCAGCAGCGGCCTCTGCAGCTGCCTTGCGAGCAGCCTGCTCCCGCCTGAGCTGCTCCACAGAGAGGCGCAGATCCGCCAGGCACGCTGATGGTGGGCTGCTGAACTCACTCTCCTGTGATGGACGTGGGGCGAGAGGGGTGAGAAGAGTGAGAAGGTGAGGTGGGCAGCAGTGGGAGCAGGGGTGAGTGATACTCTCTACCTCAAAGGAGGGTGCACCACTCCTTTTTTCTAACTTCCACCTCACTCCCTCTCTCACTCTCTCTCTCACTCCCTCTCATTCCCTCACTCCCTCCCCCTCTCACCCAGTCAAACCCCACCAGGAACTCAAGCCCGGCCAGGCACCCCCGCCCTCCCTCTCATGTCTCCCTCACTCGCTTCCATCTCTCTTTACTCACTCGGCTCCACACTCCCACCCCCCACTCACCCAGTCGAACCCCAGCAGGTACTCCAGCCCCGCCAGGCAGTCAAGAGAGGGGTCTGCCTGCACTGCAGCACTATCAACACCACCCTCCCTCTTAGTCCCTCTCGCCCTCCTCACTTCCCTCTCCCCCACACACCCAGTCCAACCCCAGCAGGTAATCCAGCCCCGATAGGCAGTCCAGAGAGGGACCCGCCTGGAGCATGCCATCTACCACCCTCCCTCTTAGTCCCTCTCGCCCTCCTCACTGCCCTCTTGCTTACTCACCCAGTCCAACCCCAGCAGGTACTCCAGCCCCGCCAGGCAGTCCAGGGAGGGGTCCGCCTGCAGCACAGACCGCACCATGCCAGCTGGCGTGCTCCCATTGGCCCGCTGCGCGTGCGAGAAGAGGCCGCCAATGATTCCCACGAGGGGGGCGAGCACCATGGGGCGCGACGATTGGTCGGATGGTGAGACGTGGTCCTCCAGGACACTGCAGTTGAGGAGTGAGAGAGGGAGGCAGAGGGAAGTGGAAGGAGGTAAGGAGGGAGGGAGGGAGGGAGGGAGGGAGGGAGGGAGGGAGGGAGGGAGGGAGGGAGGGAGGGAGGGAGGGAGGGAGGGAGGGAGGGAGAGAAGGAGGGAGGGAGGGAGGGAGGGAGGGAGGGAGGGAGGGAGGGAGGGAGGGAGGGAGGGAGGGAGGACGAGAAGGACATGAGGGGATGCCTATGAGGGGTGCGAGCGAGCACCATGGGACAGGAGGAGCGGTCTGATGGGGACGCGTGGCCCTGCACGAAACTGTGGTGAGTGCAGGGCATTGGGAGATGGGATGGAACAGTGCAGGATGGCAACGCTAAACCATGGGTGGAGCGAGCACTGTGGGGCTGGATGGGGCGGTCCAATCCTTGCCTCAACCCTCCTCACCTCACCTCACCTCACCTCACCTCACCTCACCTCACCTTACGATTCAACCTGTTTTTGTGGAATTTTACCCATCAAGAGCGCGTGCATGAGCACCCGAGCACGTGTGGTTGAGGATGAAGAGCACGTGTGGTTGAGGATGAAGAGCACGTGTGGTTGAGGATGAAGAGGACGTGTGGTTGAGGATGAAGAGCACGTGTGGTTGAGGATGAAGAGGACGTGTGGTTGAGGATGAAGAGCACGTGTGGTTGAGGATGAAGAGGACGTGTGGTTGAGGATGAAGAGCACGTGTGGTTGAGGATGAAGAGGACGTGTGGTTGAGGATGAAGAGCACGTGTGGTTGAGGATGAAGAGCACGTGTGGTTGAGGATGAAGAGCACGCGTGGTTGAGGATGAAGAGCACGTGTGGTTGAGGATGAAGAGCAGCAGCTCAAACAGCCGCATGCGGTTCATCTCAGGATCTAGAGCGCCGTCAGATGCAGAGGAAGCAGAGGAAGCAGAGGATGCAGAGGGAGCAGGGGATGTGGAGGAAGCAGGAGTGGTGGCAGGTGCAAGTGCTGTCATTGCTTCTCCTTCAGCTTCAATGGACTTTCTTCCTCCCTCTCCCTCGCCCTGAGTGACTAGCTCCACCCTGGCCCTCCCCTCCTCTCCTCCTGAAACTCCTTGCATCTCTCCTTCACCTCCTCCTCCTCCTCCTCCTCCTCCTCTTCCTCCCGCAGCTGCTGCTGCTCCTCCTGCTTCACCCCCTTCTAGAGCCTTCTCCCCTTTTTCCCGGCCCCCTCCCCCCTTCGAAGAGAGAAACACCTCCGGAGAAGCCTCACAGAGAACTTCCAACAGCCTGGCGAGGTTACAAGTAAGGTCAAACATGACGCTGCACTTGCGCTGCTGCAGCTCCCACGCCTGCTGCTGCTGCTGCTGCTGCCGCCGGTTCCGCCGCCACCGCTGCTCCTCCTCCTCCTGCTGCTGCAAGTCCTGCACCTCTTTCAGCGCCACTAGGAATTCTGTGAGAGTCCAGTTGAGTGTGTTGAAAAGGCGGTTGAGGACAGGGGAGAAGAGGCTCGGCTGGTGCAGGTACAACTGGTGGAGGGAGTGCTGGAAGAGAGGCGCGAAGAGGGAGGGCGTGGAGGAGGAGGAGGAGAGGGAGAGGGAGGGGAAGCTGGAGGGGCCTCCGAAGGGGTTGCTCACACAGAGACGCAGGAGAATCTGGGTGGTGGGTGGGGGAGAGAGGTGCAAGCTGGTTGTGTATCAAAGGATCAGAAGGCGAATCTCCTGGAGGCGTGAAATGGGTTGAAAGAAATTGCTGAGCTGTGAAAAAGAGGAGGAGCATATGCGTGAAGGCAATGGGGAGTCACCTGGGAGACAGAACCCTCGTGAGAGGCAGAGGCACCTGAGGAAATACCTGAGAGATGGGTATCCAGAAGCGCTGGTCAAATGCGTTGAGAAGGCTGGGCATGAAGCACGTGCGTGCGGCCTTGTTTGTCTCTAGTGCGACGGAGAAGGGCGGCAGCTGTAGCAGCACAGAGAGCGTCTGTAGCAGCTGATCCCTGGTGTCTGGATTGGCGATCCTTGCATCGCTGAACCGCGTGAGCAGGAAAGATATCTGCGAGGGAGAGCGGGGGCGTGTAGAACGGGGTTTGAGCAAGACACAGCTGTAGCAGCACGAAGCGCGTCTGTAGCAGCTGATCCCTGGTGTCTGGATTGGCGATCCTTGCATCGCTGAATCTAGTGAGCAGGAAAGATATCTGCGAGGGAGAGCGGGGGCGTGTAGAACGGGGTTTGAGCAAGACACAGCTGTAGCAGCACGAAGCGCGTCTGTAGCAGCTGATCCCTGGTGTCTGGATTGGCGATCCTTGCATCGCTGAATCTAGTGAGCAGGAAAGATATCTGTGAAAGAGAGAAAG